CTTATACACATCTAGATGTGTATAAGAGACAGGGGGGGAACACTGCAGAGCGCGTGCGCACTTGAAAACGAACTCGGCACTGCAGGCGGGCGCGGGTGCGTTCTATTTCAATAGATGACCTGTCTGTTCGAATAGAACAAACGTGCGTACTATTCGAATAGAACAGACATGCATAAGATTTCAACGTGCGTACTATTTGGATTTCAGGGGGTGTTTTCGAGAAATGGACTTTTCGAGGGGAAGACTGTAGCCCCGCCTAGACCTGTAGCGACCAGAGTTGTTGTAGAGAGAGAAAGTGCAAGTAACTGGAGCGCACTGAAACTGCCGAGGACGTGTGGGCGAGGGAGGTCTAGGGAATGACGATGCCCAGCTTCCCCTTGGCTGGTAGTGCCTCAACAACTGATTGCAGCTCCTCAAACCCACACAACCATTTTTTTTAATGGGGGGAAAAAAACAGGAGAGAGAACTGGAGAACTGTTTCAAGGGTGCGAGGAGCTCCAATCAGTTCTCGAGGCACTACCAGCCAAGGGGAAGCTGGAGATCGTAATGGGGGAAAAAAAGAGGAGAGAGAACTGTTTAAAAAATGGTGGTGACTAGAGAGAACTGTTCCGAGCTTGGTGTGAATTCTTGGCATGGCTCTTGAGTGTGTCTTCAGCGACTTGCTCTTGCTTTCCACTTCCAGCTGGTGCCCCAATCCTTCTTTTTTGTTTGTTTCTAGAGGGGGGGGGGGGGGGGGGGGCATTTGGCATTTCTCGATTTATGCATGTCATCCTTGAGCAGGGACCATGCTAATCTTCTCTTTGTCTGTATCATTCCAGTTTGACGGATGTCCTGAGGGACAGGTGCCCAATGTATGTTAATTTCGCGCAGTAGACAAAACGGACAGTTCATAATGACAACAGAAATCTATTTAACTTTGCGCATAAGGCCAAACACACAATTCATAATGACACAAGTCAGATAGAGAAGCAGTTAATGGAAGGCCCAAAATTCGGTGAAATTTTGCAAAATTTTCACCGAAACTGCCATATTTCCCTGAATTTTTACTTTTTTTTTTGTTTTTCTTTCTGCCTGGTTGTAGCGATGTGGCGAAAACCCCCGAATTTTCGGTCTTCCATTAACCACTTGTGTGAGAAGCAGTTAATGGAAGGCCAATCTATGGGAGAAATATTACCAGCAGAAAAAAAAGTATTGAGTACAAGCCTACCTTGCTGTGTGTGTGTGTGTGTGTGTG